AGTGATACCTGGATAAAGTGTATAATTTAGTGAATAGTATTATCTAAATATTAATTTCTTGATTTTGATCATTGTACTGTGATTATGCATTGCATTAACATTAGAAGTAGGGTGAAGAGTTTACAAAAACTTTATGTACTGTTCTCACAACTTTTTGGTAAGTCTAAAATTATTTCAAAATAAAAAGTTTATTAAAAAAATTCAGACTAAACTTTAAAACAAAAGCACTACTAGAGGTAAAAGTGGATATTTATTAATGGAAAAAAAGGTTCCATTCACAGGAAGAAAAACCAACTATAAAATTCTTTGCTTCAAGGAACATGACCTCATAATAAATAAATCAAAAACAGAACTACAAGGGAGAACAGAATCCACAATTACACAGGGAGATTTAACATAAATTGTCAGTAACTGTCAATCAATTATACACACATAAATCCATAAGGAAAAAGATTTTCACAAAGGCCCCCATCAAGTCTTTGACAGGTGGGTCTCTAAACAGGTCAACTCAAAACATGGTAGCTGGCTTCATCTACATGAGCAAGAAATACCAGCAAAAAGCAGTTAGTCTTTTGTAACTTAATCTCATTAGTGACATTGACCATTTTTGCCATATTCTTTTTTTAATCCTTATTGTATTTTCCCCATTATACCCCTTATATCCCCCAACCTCCAGCAACCGCCACATTGTTGTCCATGTCCGTGAGTCCTTTTCCATTTTTCCTCAATCCCTCTACCTCTTAACCTCCTCCCACCCCCTGCCTTATATTCTTTTAAAAGTGAGTCTCTAGATCCAGTCTACCCTTAGGAGAAGGGATTACACAAGAATCTGAATACCATGGTTGTCTTAGATGGTAGCCTATCACAAATGGCATAAAAGAAAAGACAACTGGGATACAAGTTAGAAGAACTGGATTTAGTAGCTAATCTCTCAAGGCCTCCGTATTTTCACTGAAAACTTAGGGTAGCCAAAATGACATCGACAGTCATTTAATTTCTAGGTTCTAAATTCTGGGCTTCCCTATTTTATCTTTAGGAAAGGATCAGTATTAAATACTTGGTCAAAATGCCTCATTTCACAAAAGGAAGCCAAGTTCCAGGAGAGGTTAACAGCCATAGTTATTCTGCTCTTACGCCCAGTGCTCTTTCACTGTAGTGCGTGCTTTTTCAATTAATGCCCTAAGAAAAAAACCCTTCCTCTCTGTCTCAAGGTCCATTCAATTCAAAAGACAGACAGAATATAATACACTACTAACAAGAACAGCAGCAACAATTGATTAATGCTGTGCATTATTTCTTTTTCTCTCACCAGACTTAAAGCTATTTCTGTAGGTGGCATGTGAGATGAAGGTCAACTATCCTCTGCCCATTCCAGTCCCAAGTATCTGGACATTTCAGTATTAACACTCTTTGCTGAAAGTAGGGTATAAAGGCTAACAGATAATAGATGATAGCAGAGAGTCACCTTAAACAAACTAAACCTACATGAAGCATCTAAAAATGGAAACTAACAAGAAAGGTAAGTTTTGTCTCCACTCAAATCCTGGAAAATGGTATCCCGGAGGTCAAAAACAGCAATGTGATACAGGCAATGTCTGGGGAGTTAGGCACTCTAGGAAGCTAACGATAACAACTGCTCTGACAGACATATCCTTATTCATAAGGAAGCACCAGTAAGTGTGAACTACCATTAAACATTTGTACTATGTAAGTACCCTATTTGCTCCCATATGAAGTCAGGAGCCAAGGAGGTATGGTGGTGGGGGAGGACTCAATCGTTAGAAAATCACCTCCACAGCACATATCTTTTACAAGTCACAATTTGTAGTAACTCCAGTATTGGTTCAAGAAGTGCAGTGAAAACATTGCATATAACTACAATTGCTTTGTGTGGCAATTATAAAGCAGAAAGGTATTTATACTAGTCAAATTATGTGTGTGTGTATGTGTATATACATGTATATAAATGCCTGTGTCCAGAATTTCTCTTTAAGAAAGGCTCAAGAATAGCAGTGGGTTATTGGTGGTAGAAGCTGAGGCCTAGTGGCTTATCTTAAATCTGTACTTGCATAACAATCAAATAATATTGAAAAAAATAAATTACCCATATCAAAGAAAAATTGTATCGATGGAGACTACCTGCAAACTTCTCGTTAGCTTTAGTATATACATACCTAAATGTAAACCTAAATTCACTTCTATGAACCACCTAAAGTGTTACCTTAAAATGTTAACATAGGCCAAAATAGTATTTAAAGAGAGTTTTTGATACTTTCAAAAGTTTTTTGATCCTTTTGGGACTGAGTGAAAGGCAGGGAGCTCAAAGTAAGAGAAGAACTGGGCAGCCTAATGGGGCTCTTAAGGAAGACAGAACCTCCATCCTGGGCAGGGGCAGTGTCATGGCCCAAGCCATTGGCTATTGCTTCCCATATTATGAATATACTCAGTCAGTAGATATAAATTTTAATCAAGCCATCCCAAGATAAAACAAAAAGACAATGTCCATCTCAAAGTAGTGAAAAGTATTTTATGATTTTTTATATGTTTTATATTTTTATGCAAAAATATCTGGATATTCACCCTTTCCCTAGGGTTTTATGCAACATCAAAGAAGACTTGCATCTCCTTTCTTTTCTCACTTCTTACCTCTCTTTTAAATAGTTAAGAGAAATCTCAAACAGGTCTCTAATTAGTCTTTAGGCAAAACTGGTAAAAAGCAAAGAAAATATGTTTAAGGATTTAAAATTTAACCTCAAAATACTACAGAACACATTACTTAATACTATTATGTATTTATGCTTTCCAATATAGATAGTCCACCTCAGTTAATGATTTCACTACCACCAATGAGATTAAAGAGTCATTTTTGAACTTTCATTTTGCCACAGAGCAGAGGTTAGCAAACTATGCAACAAGAAAGAAAGGAGAGAGGCAGTCAAGCAGACAAGCAGAAAAGTAAAGAAGGAAAGCAAGCCAAAAGGAAGGAACGAAGGCAAGAAGGGAGGGAAAGAGGGCAAGAGGAAGGTGGAGGGAAGAGAGAAAGGAAGGTGGAGGGAGGAAAAGAGAAAAAAAGAGGGAAAGGAAGAAAAGGAAGGAAAGGAGGGAGGGAGGGAGAGAAAGAGAAAAAGAGAAAGAAAAGAAGAGAGGGAAAAAATGAAGAAAATAGAGACTGTAAATGGTCTCCCAACCTAAAATACAGGCAGTCCTAGCTTCACACAGTACTGCTTTAACTGAAACTACAAAGCAAGGACTGCCTATATTTACTATCTTTTTCTTTACATAAAATTGGATGATCATTGCAATAAAGGATATCCAAATGGCCAATAAACATATAAAGAAGTGTTAAATGTTATTAGTCATTATGGAAATCAGGGAAAAACCACAATGTGATATCACTATGATACTTCCCAAAATGGCTAAAGTAAGTAAGATAATACTAAGTGTTATAAACATTTGGGGGAGCCAGAATTCTCAAACAATGCTAAAAGGAGTGCTAATTGACACAATTAATTCGAAAAACTTTTTGGTAGTTATACCAGAAATATATGTCTGCATATCCTATAATGTAGCCATTTAACTAGTAGGTATATATCCAAAAGAAATGTATACATATGTTCACTAAAATACTCATAAAAATGTGCATAGAAGCCCTGTTGGCAACAGCGAAAAACTGGATGGAATACCATACAGAATAAGAACAAACAAACTACTGCTACATAACTTGTATAAATCGCACAAATACAATATGGGCAAAAGTGAAACACAAAGAACTAGATATTGTATTATTCCATTTAAATAAAGTTAGTAAGATAAATTCATAGACGATGTTAAAAATCAAGATAAGGGTTATCTTTGGGAAGGGGGCTTCTAAGAGCCAAGTAATGCTCTTTCTTGATCTAGGTGCTGTATACCCTTTGTGAAAATTCAGTGAGTTGTACACTTACGGTTCACGCACTTTTCTGGAGGTCTATTAACCTTTAAAAATTAACACACTGAAAAAATTTCTATAAACTCTGTTTTTGAAGGAAAATTGTGTACATGTCCCATCCACTTTTTCAATTTGCCATCATGATCTTTAATTTCTCACCAATAAGGTATCTTTAATTCCTGTTACCTAATATAGAGGTCAGCTTTATTTTAATTTTCTTGGTATACTATTGCATAGAATACCCAAATAAACATGTAGCTAGTTCCACATTAGTTCCCAAGGAGACATTTTGAAAAGCCAACACTTTGTGATAGTATATTAAAATTATCTGGGGAATAAAAGAAAACCTCCTTGAAATTTAGTTTTGTTTGGCCCTTTGTTTTGGTTTACCTTTGTCTACTAATATGGTGATTTAATCTGCATAAAATGTCCAAAGGAGCTTTTCAAAAAGCCTGTTCTAGTGGAAAGTTTTTCTTTCTACCATCCTGTCTAATAATGCTATTCTCTTATGTTTGTCCAGTTCCTTCCATCCATGGAGCTTTAAGTACTTCACAAATACTGTCGGGTGGTGTCACCTTCCAATTAGAGAAATTTGGGCCAATAAGCATTGTGAACCAAACATATTCAAACAGTATCTTTCTGCAGCATGGCTCAATGTACCTAAAGAAGCACCGCATTCTTTGCCACAACTTACAAGTGTGAGGACTGAAATACGAAACGAATTAGTTACTCTCAAGGGCAGTCAAACGCTGAACCAGAACATACCCTCTAACTCACTGCCGCTTAAAGGGAAAACAAACAAAAACTTACACCCTTGGATAAAATGCTCAGCTGTTCAATTCAAACTGGAAACAGGTAAGGATGCCTAAATCATACCCAGAAAGAGGACCTGTGTACCCTGACCTTCCAGAGAACCCCATCCATACCGGCCGCACGGGGCCAACTTTCACTAGTGCAGATTCCGCGCGGTGCCGTCACCTTTTCCAAGAAGACTGCGACCGGAGTTTCGAGGGTTGTTCGAAGCCCACCCTTCCTCTCTGGTCGCCCAATGTTCCTAAGCAAACCCGTTTACCTGAGATGCTCCCAGCACCGCCCCGAGGCCGACTCTAAGCGTTCGCCCAGAGTTTCTCAGGGCCGATACACAGCCACTGCATCAGCCAATCGCCGCTTGCTGGAATCCTCCGGGCCCGGGGAGCACCCGCTCGGGGAGGTGCGCGCGCCTGCAAACGACCAGGCGGGGCGCGGAGGCGGAGGGAGCCTGCCGCAAGTTGCGCGCTAGGGCCTACGGGGAACGGAGGCGGAACGGGCTCCAAGCGGGGGCAGGCGCTGCGCACAGAGCATGCGCTGCCGCGCCGCTGGGGACGCGAGGCGGGGTCCCCGGGGGAGGGAGTAACCTTAGGAAGTCTGCACGAGTTCGGAGAAGAAAGAAAACGGTCGTAGGAGTCTTCCGTGGCTGTTCTAGCAGAGTGCTACGCTTCTCTGCACCGAGACAACTGGCACGATTTGAGAGAGCAAAATATTGTCTAGACAAAACCACACCTGGTTAAAGAAGGAAAACCGGGTGGTTAAAACGCGCCTGGTAGCCTCATCTTTAGTGTTACCTAATCTCCATAGGAGATGGCGGAATTGTGGTTTCCTGTTTTGTTTGTGTGTGGTTTTGAGGTGAGAGGAAGAGTGAGGATGGGACGCGAGGAACGCGAGAGAGGGGCGTGTTGAGAATTGACGGTTGAATATAAAGGACCAAAGTTGTACTCCAGTTCGGTGAGCAAAAGTGGTACCTATCTCCTGGTCAGGGAAAGTTTCAACCAAAAGTAATCTTTTTGGCTTAAGTACTAAAAAGAGACCTGGGTGCTTATGTTCAATGTGTGGACTCTTTGAGACAAAACGTTGAACCTTCCAGAATTAAACAAACCAAGAAAAAAAAAGTGTAATTTGTTTGCCTTGTTAAAACAAAGGATGACTGAAGAACTTAATTAGCTATTAGTATGTAATTCGAGTGGTTCTTTTCACAAATTAGTATTATTTTTATAAATGTCATGTTAACTCCTTCAGACACCAAATAGTTAATTCATTCATACAATAAATATTGTATTCAAATATTTATTGAATACATATACAATGTGTCGGGTTCTCTTCTGGGTGTAGCAATAATAATTTTTACAGACAATACGCGTAATATGAAATGTTGGCAGTTTCTCAAGTTAGTAAAAGTTAACGAAAGGAACTTACACTTTAGTAAGTGTAAAAAAGGGATGGACGTAAATGAGTTGGAACAAAATAGTTATAAAATGCATAAACTCTTTGGTATTGTGAAGAATGAACATTGTTCTGAAGAGGTTTGTTACAGAATAAGCTTTGAAATGCATTTTTCTTTAATTCAGTCAAGGTTTTAAAAAGATATCTATAGACACAGAATACTATAAAAATATATGAAACAAAAAGAGGAGTAGTGTAGTTTGTCAGAGTAGGTTGGAAGAGCCCTCCAATCAGGAACAGTGACTTATGAAAGGTTTAGGCACAACTAAAATTATGTGTAAAAGAAAGGAGGGAAAGTTGCTTTTCCTAGCTAAGGAATAACAAGAAAGAGGGAATAGTGACCACAACATTAAGAAAATTCAAATATTGAATTTATAGGTTAAATTTAGAGAAAGTGGTTATACTATTTTTCTTTGGGTAAGTATACATTATTAACCCTAGTTTTTAAAACTCATTATCTGTGTGCTGAAAATCTCCAGGGTAAAGAAAAAACCCAAGTTTTCCTCTTGATAATCTGTTTTTTCCTTCTGCCTCTTTTATTCAATGAGTTCAACCATTTAGCCTTTTCTCCCTAGTCCTTCCTCCAACTACCTGAGGCAACTCTTAATGCTTTTTCCCTGAACTTCTCAGATCACAATAACTAATTTTTCCCAACCCTCTTTCACTACTATTTTCACTCATATATGCATTTCTTATTCTCCATCCTGCTAACAGTTGCCAGTCTACAAGAAGTGAAAGAAACCAATTAGAGCTTTTTTTTCTCTTCTCAAGCTAATTATCAAAGATATCCGTGCCCTCAGTCCCCCTACAAGTAAGGCTTTTGCAGAAATACGGATGAAGATGAAAGGAAAAGAAAACGAATCTCTTATTCCAGGGGCCAAAAAGAAGGTCAGATGGTGAATACTCTAAAGTCCGTAAATATCATTAGCCTCTGAAAATCTGCCAAACAATTCAGTCAATTCTAGAAATGAAATGATGAGTAAAAATGCACACAAGTAGCTGAGAATGCCTTGTATATTAGGGTTCTCTACAGAAATAGGAACAACAACACATATACACATACACATACATAAATACACAAATTTTTACTGTAAGGGATGTCGTTTTAATTTGCAATCCCTGATGATGTGATGTTGAGCATTTTTTCTGTTTGTTTTTTTTTGACATCTGTATATCTTCATTGTTGAGGTGTGTGTTCAGATCTTTTGCCCCTTTTTTATTGTGTGCCCATAATTGCTTGTGTTCTTACTAAGTTTTAAGATTTCTTTGCATATTTTGGATATATATCCTTTATTGGATACGTGTTTTGTAAATAGTCTTCCAGTCTGTAGCTAGTCTTCTCATTTTATTATTAGTGTATTTAACAGAGCAGACAATTATAATTTTAACGAAGTCTAACTTCCTAGTTTTTTCTTTCATGGATTATACTTTTGATGTATTTAAAAAGTGATCACCAAACCGAGGGTCACCTAGACTTTCCTCTTGTTATATTCTAGGAGATTAATCATAATCACGTTGGATTTTACATTTGGACCTATGATCCATTTTGAGTTAATTTTTATGAAAGGTGTATAATACATTCTGTACCTAGATTTATTTTTTGCATATGGATGTCAAGTTGTTCCAGCACACTCTGATGAAAAGACTGTCCTTTCTCCACTGAATTGCTTTTGCTATTTTGTCAAAGATCACTTAACTCTATTTGTGTGGGTCTATTTCTGGGCTTTCAGTTCTGTTTAGTTGATTTGTTTATCTGTTTTTTTCACCAATACCAGACTGTCCTGATTATTATAGCTTTATAGTAGTCTTAAAGGTGAGTAGTGTCAATCTTCTGACTTTATTTTTTTTCCTTCAACATTGTGTTGGCTATTGCTTCTCCACATAAGCTTTAGGATCAGTTTATTAATAGCCTCAGAAAAGCTTGCTTAGGTTTTGATTGGGATAGCACTGAATCTATAGATAAAGCTGGAAAGAACTGATATCTTGGATACAATTTAGCCCTTGAACAACATGGGTTTGAACTGCACGGATATATTTATATGCAGATTTTTAAAATAATTATACAGTGGTCCTCCATATTTTCAGGTTTTGCATCTGTGTGTTCAACCAACTGCATATGCAGAGAGCCAACTTAAGTTATAGACAGATTTTCAACTGCATCAAGGGTTGGCACCCCAACCCACCTGTTGTTCAAGGATCAACTCTACATGTAATGTCTCTGTTTATTCACATCTTCTTTGATATTTTTTATCATAGTCTCAAAATAGTCCTCATATAGATCTTATTCATATTTAGTTAAGATTTATACCTAAGTTTGGTTTTTGGTCTGATGTTAATTGTGTTGTGCTACTAATTTCAGACTCCAGTTCTTTGCTGGTATATAGGAAAACAATTGACTTTTGTATATTAACCTTGTCTCCTACAACTTTGATATAGTCACTTATTAGTCCAAGGGGATTTTCTTTGTTGATGTTTTAAAAATAATTTTATGTAGACAATCATATCATCAGTGAACAAAGACAATTTTATTCCTTCCTACTCAATCTGATATGTTCATGACTCATTTTTGGTTATCACATATGTAATTTTTTTTAAAAACAAACTTCATGCTCTCCTGATCTCAACCTGCATTTCTCTGTCCTCCACCATTCCATTTCTGATGCACCTAAGAACAGATCTTCAAAATACACAAAGCAAAATATATTAGAACTGTAGAGATAAATCCACAATTAATATAAAATTACAGTCAGATTTCAAACTTATCTTTCAATAATTTATAGAACAGTAGACAGATATTATCAGTAAGTATATATAAGGTTTGAAAAATACTATTAACCTACTTACCTAATTGACACTTATAGAACACCACCTATCAACAGCCGAATACATTTTTAGGTCTACATGGAATATTTACTAAGACAGACCATAAAACAAATACAAATTCATTTAAAAGGATTCAAATCAGGAGTGACATCAGCAAACTGGTGGAATAGGAAGTTCCAGACCCTCTCTCTCCCATGAAGGTACAAATTTAACAATAACATGGGCCATTCACATTTGTGTTTCTGCACTCAAAGCAAGTGTAAAACCAAGTACATCAAAGCCCTGAAGAAAATTCATAGCACTCATTTGCAGCTGGCTCACCCCTCAGCATGATACGATTTGGGAAGAAATTATCAACTCCCAATATCTCCCAGGGGAGAGAAAGGAGTAGAATGTACGTCCAACGTTCTGACTTTTCAGGACATTGCCTGAGGGAATGGTTTCTATTTTACCTGAATCTAAGCTCTGACAGAAATGAGTGGCTAGTTTGGGAGCTGTTGAGAACAAAGGCAATTAATGTGCATCAGAGTCCACAGTATCACAGACTGGAGCTAAGTGGAGGTCCATTATCACAGTTCACTACAGCATGACAGAGACTACAATATATCAGACAGATCCCAAGGGGAGACTTTATGTACAAACTGGGAAACCTCTTTAATTGTTACATTACATGCACAAGCCAAAAGAGTTCATATCCCAAAATATGGCTTAAAAAGCCTCCAGAATCTCTAGCCAGAATGATTAGAGAAAGTCCTCTTTGTACAATACCACAGAACCTGGGAGAGGTGGCTGATTATTTTAAATGCTGGAGTCCTATCAGAAGACATTCAAAGAAACAAGGAAACATGGCCCATTGAAAAGAAAAAATTAAGTCTTGATGACCTACCCAAAGAAACAGATATATGGATTATCAAAGAATTCGGAAATAATCATCATATAGATTCTTAATGAATTAGAAGAGCACCAATAGACAACTAACAAAAACAAATGAGAACAGTAATGAAGAGAAACTATAAAGAAGACTCAAACAGGAATTCTGAAACTAAAGAATACAATAATTGAATTGAAAAATTCAGTAGAGGAATTCAATATCAAGCTTGACCAGACAGAAGAAAGAATCAGCAAACTCTAAAAGGAACTTTCAAAATTTCCAAGACAGAGCAGTGAAGAGAAAAGAGTGAAGAAAAATTAAGAAAGGCTA